TAATCATATATGATTATATATAGTTATATATAATTATTTACAATTATATATAATTATATATAAAATATGTCCATATGTATAACATTTTTTCCCGAGTATTTATAAGTGGGATATACGACTCATGGAAGATTTACTAATAATACTTAGACAAAAGATGTAAAATGGCACAATAACTTACAAATTATTATCAAGGAATAAAAATGATAAATATATATACAGAATGTAATACATAATAATTATAATTTTTTGCATATATTACAAGTGTTATGACGTACTTGTTTCATGTAGTACATTCATTGCATTTAATGTACTGAATCCAATTTGTGCACTTTGTATGATTTGTGCATAAATTTCGCTTGCTAAAAATACCATATATTCCAAATAGGTGCAGAAGTATACAAGACTTTAAGTTGAACAATAAATATAAGAGCTAAGCACTTATTTTTGCTGTAATTCGTTCTTTACTTTCCCTTTACAATTATGTATCATCAAATAACATTTAAACCTTTCGCACTCCCTACGGTAATTATTTTATGTAAGTTATGATATATGATTCCACTACTTACTACATTGACAATTAAATCGATTTAACTGTGTGACACAGTGGTTTTAACATATAGTATTAGTAGCAAAAAATCTGAAATCATAACACAATACTAATAGAACACAATAAAAACATAACAATACAGTGGTTATATGCAAATTATCCTTATATTTATTTTTTCCGATTTCTGAGATGTACATATATCCCCCCGCAACTTAAATACCGGAGTTACTCTATGTCCCAAGAGGGTAACCACTAGCTGAAATATTGTCCCACAGATTACATGATTTCATCTGATTACAAATAATTTTTTTCACTACTATGAAGTAATTTGGTAAAATATACGATTTTATTTAATATTATACAATGATTTCTCGTGGTTGCATATATAATTATCGGATTATACATAGAGATTTTATATAAATTTTATAATGATTTCGAGAATTCTGTCCCACGATTACGTTAAGTGGTTACCCCCTCGCTATGTCCCTTTGCTAACTTATAATTTATGTTTTAGATATTAGCTGACGGAAAAATAGATAAAACTGTTATCGTACAAGGATATTTTTCAGTCTTACTTTTTATTATTTTCTTGATGAATACCTTTCTCTATTGTGGGGCAGGAGAGCTTGTAACAGAGCAAGTAAGTTACAGTTATATCTAGTATGTTAGATTATACTTAAACGAGAAAATAATGCAATACATTTTTTATCGGTCAATAATGAAGATAGAAATGTGAAATTGTACATGCTGCAAACTTCAAGTTTGTTGCGCTTTTATGTAAAATTATATTCTGACAGATAAAGTAGCTGTAATAATTTTTCTAATGGCTAACAACTCGTGTGTTACAAGCAACGAGCTATAGGTTGCATTCTGTTTTTCATTCACATGTTGTAAGCATCAATTCATCCTTGTTGTCTATCAAATTTTAAACAAGGATAAATGACGCTTACAAGCGTTGCAAGCGCGAAACGGAATACACCCACAATTAAATTTTGTATTACAAAGTTACAGAATTCCACTGCTGTGGTGCTATTCTGTGCACGCTTATCGATAGTTGTCGGTGTCGTTATGCGTTTTGCGCAGCTATTTTACAAAATATCTACGCAAAATACATAACGACACCGACAACTATCGGTAGGCATGTACATACAGAAAGTTACATAATGACGCCCCAGTCCCTGCGTATTCTGTAACTTGTTATGTGTTCATAACGACAGTCGCGAAGATATTTTATATAGCAAAAAAGCTGCGTAATTATCATTATAAACATATAACGTCTCCATATTGAGTTGTACAATACAGGTCCTGGATTTTTAAACAGGAAGCCATATGGAATTACAGCTTTGATTTGTAGTGAAATATATTTCAACAATATTTCGGTCATTTTTATTTCTTATTTCCACGATTTCATGGTTTATTTCAACGTTTTCAGCGATTCGCACCAAGGTACTTTATCTATTAAAATGCCGCGTAATTTTACATAAAAACGCTACTAAATTTGTTTTATACTTTCGAACAAATATAATTTTCATGTTACTACATAATACTAATAAATTTTTAGTTTTATTATTGTATTAAAATACTATTTATTATAAATATTTGTTATCAAATTACTAGGCAAAACTACTCATTAAAAATTTACTAGTATACATTTATGCATGACCGTTTATTGAATGACTGTTCCTGTGTGAACATTAACAAGAATGCAAATTCATTCGAGTTATATCACATTTCTGCTTCTAATTTCTTTTACAAGAAATGAGAAGTTATTTAAATCTCAATTAACTATTACTAATATGTTTGGAAATAATCCTTATTGAAGTTGCATAAATTAATATGTTTTCTCATATGTATTCATTAAGTGCAATGCAGTATATCGCGCACTGTGTGATCTTGAGTGGTACAAATTGGAGTCAAGGAAGGCAAGAAGTCTTATTTTATTAATGATGCGAGCTAAATATCCTTTTTCTATCACTGCAGGAAAGATTTTTCCGTTAACAATGGCTACTTTTTGCAGTGTAAGATTATCTTAATTCCCCTCGTATTAATTTTGCTTCTTTAATATGTAATGGAATCCGATTTACTTTCACATTTAAAATTTCTCTCTCTCTCTCTCTCTCTCTCTCTCTCTCTCTCTTTCTTTCTTTCTCTATTTCTTTTTCTTTATCTACACACACACACACACACACACGTACGCACGCACGCATATCGGGTGTTCAGACCACTCGTACACCCTATTGAAAAACGAGAGAAGTGGTAATTTTGAAAAATGTTTCAGACAAAAGTTGTTTGAGATCAAGTAATGCATTATATATGGGCATATGCAATTGACCTTGGTTGGCGTGAAGGTCATGTCAAGATCGACTTTGAACTTTTTAAATGGGAATCCATATCCTTTATTGCGTATTTTTATATGCTGTCATTAAGACGTTTTCGAAACACTGGTTACAAATCCTTTTTAGTTGAAATCTTCCTGAATTATGAGATTTCAAAATTTCAGTACACTGGGCATTACCGTTACATAAGGTGTACTGCGTGGAGATCGCACGATTGGAAACTTTAAAAAACACCTCGAAGAGGAGTAAATCCGACCGCGTGTCCTCCACCTAGTACATCTTGGGCTTACGCCGACGGCACTAAAGTCTCAATTCAGGAAGATCTCAACTAAAAATGGTTTGTAACCAATGTTTCAAAAATGTCTTGACATCAACTACAAGAATATGCAATGAAAGATATAGGTTACCGTTTAAAAAATTCAAGTCAACCTTGACATGACCTTCACGACGCCAAGGTCAATCATATATGCCTATGTAATGCATTACTTGATCCCCAACAACTTTTGTAACTAAAACATTTTTCAATATAACCACTTCTCTCGTTTTTAAATAGGGTGTACGAGTGGTCTGAAACATCGGTATGTGTAGTATACATAGCGACTCCCGATAAGTCAGTACGGATTACGAAATTTTTCTGTCTATACAGGATGTATGTTATAACTAAGTAAGAATTTATTTTTTGAGTAAGTTTTTTAGCTTTGTCTGTAAAAATTTAAAACTATAAAGTTTGCGTACTAATCCCGACTTCCCCTACGATATATGCAACGTATTTCTCAAATGTCACTAAATAAAAATAATAATTATTTACAGATATTAAAAACATCGATGGGCTATATATCATTTTTATTAACAAAACATGGCTAAACATGATATATTAATATTCAATAGTTATATAGACTTAAAAATAGATACGTTCATAGTTTTATACTTTTAAGTGGACATAATTTCTAGAAAACATGCTATTGTTACAGCTGTAGTAAAAATATAATTATGTTTTGTCTATTGGTTGTTGTTTACTGTAAATTATTTCATTAAGACATTTATAGAGTAACAAATATTTTTATGTAACAAAAATAATTCGATGGAAATGGGCCCTCGTGTATTATGTTTTCTTTAGCTCGCTACGCTAGGGTACAACGTAAGCTATGCGATTTTTTACATTGCTGTAACCTTTTTAATAATATTATTTGATCATATGGATTATGGTTCAAAAGAAACCTTAACTATAGATATATAGTATAATAGTAAAGTATAATACGAAATTTCTTCTTAATGTTCGTCTTTGAATTACATTATTACACTTAGTGATAATGTTTTACCAAATTTCACGACAACTGTATTTAATCAAATCAACATGGCAAGATGAATGTACTTACGTTATTATAATAATATGTGTATTTTAGCACGTATTTCAGTTTTGAGAAAAGAATTTTCTGCCTTATAACTTCGATGAAAAGAATCATTTAACTAAAACAAATTTGTTATCGTATTTCGAGAATGTTGACAGCTTTGAAAACTATTATACGTTGTACACTTGCAGTTTTAAGACATCAAAATTTTATCATTGAAAATGCACGGACAATTTTCAGATATGAATTATAATCTTCTTACAGTCCAGAGAAAATATTATATCACGTTTCCTATAATGATGGCAAATATGTCTTTAAAAGAGATATTTAAAAAATGAGTGTTATACGTACACTATACAATTTCACGTTATCTGTTTTTTAAATATAATTTTTGTTAACTGGTACGGAAAGCCTCATTAAAGATGCAATAGCGTTATATCTCATTTCGCAATAAACGCATACATAATAGAACAATATGAAACATGGAAAAAACTTTCTGAGTAAGTATTGACGAACTTATATAATGCGATGCAACATTCTTTACCTCTTATTTTATTAGATCAGACATAAACGACTTTATAACTCGAATATTTATAAAATTCATTCTTACGATAGCGGTAGCTATAACTGGGAATAGCATTCTTAATATTTAATGCCACATTTGACAATTCTGTCGAGTTTATGCATTTGTATAGAGAGCGTGCGTGATGATCATTTCTCGTCATACCGTGGAAAGAACAAAACATTCTTCATGTTCTAACTTTCAACATGGATGTTAAAAATTCTTCAGGATACAGAGGTACTAATTTCATGTTACATTTTCTGTTTATTAAATTTAATTAATAATCTATTAAATAAGTTTATATACTATAGTATATTATAAATTCATTCTTGTGATACTGTGTTACTATGTAAACTTTTGTTACGTACAAATACTTAATAATTAGATATCAAATATTGAATATAATTATTATATTTGCAACTGTATTATCTAGTTAATACAGCATAAAAATTTATTAGATTTCATGTGGGCAATACATCTACAACGTTTAGGATTCGAAATAGTGGGCTTGTGGCCTAAATCCAACAAATGTACTAAGAAAAGTTTGTGGCCAAAAATTTGGGCCGGCATCATTTTGATTTTATTAATATTTGTTTCAACCGTTCCGATGATACATGCAGTTATACGAGTTTGGGGAAATATGGTACTAGTAATAGACAGTTTACATACAACGTTACCCCTAGTAGTAATATCATTGAAATATATTATTATATTACGGAAACAAACAGGTGCGTCCAGAATTATGTATACGATTCTCTTTTTAGTGCGGTAATTTACAAATAACAACATATGACTAAATAATTCAATTTTTTACTCGTTTAACATTTCTTACATTTTATCTATAGTTATTTATATTTTTAAGTTGTATTGTCAATTGTAAACATGATGGCAGAAGATTGGATGGCATTTAAGCTGGATGAAGAACGAGATGTGATGATAAAACGAGCACGAACAGCGCGATTAATTATGACGATTGGATATGTTGTCTTGATAGTGGGGTTTATAACAGTAGTTATTCCTTCTTATTTCGGCTTTGTCACAATGTACATAACGAATTCCACAGTTCGGCGCAAATCGTTACCATTGGAGACGTATCACTTCTACGATACAGATAAGAGTCCGCAGTTTGAGTTAATATTTTTCATTCAGTCTGTAACACTGTCATTGGCTGGTACCATTTACATATTTATAGATATGTTTCTAGTTGCAATAGTTCTTCACATTTGGGGTCAATTAGAAAACTTTAGACGCCACTTAATTAATTTGATCTCATACAAAAATTTCAATAAAGTTTTAATCAATATCGTAGTGACCCATTTGCGTCTTATCAGGTATGAATTTTTATTTGGACAATAGAACATTTAATGATATTAAATAGTCGATAATAAATACATATATGGGGCGTTCTCTGTTAAATCGACCACCCTCCTGCCCATTTCAATTTTTGAGATAAAATTCTTTTTTTGGTCTTAAAATTTTCCTTTGAATGTCTATTTTTCGATGCCGTATGGCGTTTTTAAAAATTCAAAATGGTGGACCCAAAATGGCGACTAGAATGAAAAAAGGCATTGGAAAAATTAATGATATCGTGAATAAACGTGTACGATGTGTAATGTATAGAGGTCTGATCCGCGTGCGTGTGTGCGTGCGCGCGCGCTTGTCAAAACGAATTACGTTGAAGTCAATTCTTCTTTAACACGATATCCACTGGTTATTAAGACAAAATTTGCGTACAAAATTTCAAATTATAATTTGATCATTCTCTTGTCTTTAAGTCTTGTTGCTAAGCCACAGGACGCAACATTAACATCTCAAATTCTTTTTAATTGGGCTAGAGTACATTTTAAGGACATAAGGATTTTTTATTTTAAGAAAATTGATCATGAGAAGATAAGAAGAAAACTTAATAAGAGTTTTGAAGCTGCACAGTCAGCTCCGCAAATTCTTAAGGATCATGGATCTATAATTGCGGGAGAAAATAAAGTATTAATCAAAAGATATTCCAATGATATAAATGAAATACTATGGTAGTTTCGGGGAAGAAAGTAAAGGATAAAAAATTAAAAAATAAATTCTATGGTACATCCATCCACACAGACACACGCGTTCACACTCGCACACATACACGTGAGAGGCAAGGGGACTCACGTAAATGAAGCACGCATGCACGCACGCACACACGAAGATCAACCTTTACATCACACATCGTGCACGTTTATTCACGATATCATTAATTTTTCCAATGTCTTTTTTCATTCCAGTCGCCATTTTGGATCCGCCATTTTAAATTTTCAAAAACGCCACACGGCATCGAAAATAGACATTTCAAGAAAAATTTTGAGACCAAAAAAAAAATTTTATCTTAAAAATTAAAATGGGCAGAAGGGTGGCCGATTTAACAGAGAACGCCCTATATATATATATATATATATATTCTTCACGGTTAAATATATACATTTTTTAAACTATGTATATGTATATATAATACTTGATTTAATATGATAACCCTTTCACTTAATTTTATTCGTAGATTTGCCGGTAATATCGAAAATACATACTCTTTAATGATGTTAGTATTGGTATTTAATGTTGGTGTTATATTCTGCCTAACCGGATTTTTATTTACCATTGTAAGATGCGGTAAAATACAAAAAAATCATTTATAGTATGTATAAGGTAACTCCGGCATATACGCCGCACAAAAACTTAAGGGGATGCTAAACCGATTACCCAACTCAATCAAGGTCGATAGTACAGACTTTTTTAATTCCAATTTCGATAATAGTGGCGACATCTTTGATTT